CCCGACTGCGGTCCTCTGGCTGCAGTCCTCTGAGCTGTGACTGTCCCATCCCCAGCACACAGGCCACGAGCTCCTGGGCCTCGTGGGCCTCAGAGAATGTCCCAGACACTGACAGGCTCCAGGGAGGCACAGCTCGGACAGCAGGGTGCCTGGAATCCGTGTGTCGGATGGGCTGTTCCTCTGAAGTCATTTGGTGGCTTATTGCCACCAAACATGGACATGAAGGAAGAGGGGAGGGCAGGCCAGGGGCTGAGGCAGCAGACCCCACCAGGAGCCCCAGAGCCTTTGCCACAGAATGGCTGCTCCCAGAGGGGCCAAGGCCAGGACCCTCGGCCCACACCAGAGAAGCTCCTGTTTGGGGACCTCCCAACCTGGGGACACCAGAGAGCTGGAGACCAGAGAAGGATCCAGAGAAAAATGGTTTGCAGGGAGAAGCACAAACCCTGAGAAAGCATAGCCTCCCTGGCGAGCCATGGACGTGGGGAGGCTGGGGTGAGCAGGTCAGCCTCAGCAGGACGACTGCGTGGAAGGGCGTCCACAGTGTGCCCCAGCGGCCAGCACCTTGCCCCAGGCAGGCGTGGCTTATGGCCCTCATGGGAGCCGATGCCACCTGGCACCTAACCTCCCTCCAATAAAACGAAGCAAGGAGAAGCAGCCAACCCCCTGGACACGGTGGACCACGTCCCGGACATGAGGAAGCTCAGTTCTGAGTCAAGGAGCAAAGGGGCTGGGCAGCAGGACCCACCTGGGAACCAGGAAATCAAAGGACACATGGAAAACAACCAGGCTTCAAAGAAGACGTCAAACAGGAAACCTGAGGGCAGAGGAGAGTGGCCCGTCAGAGCCTGCGGCCGCTGGGCAGGGCTTTTCCAGCACTAAATGCCTGACCTAGGAAAGAAGATGTTCCAGACCCACGACCCCCTGGTCACCCGGAAAAGCTGGAACAAGAAGATGGAACTCGCCCAAAGTAAATAGAAGAAAGGGGCAAATCAGGATCGCAGAGGAGATCAGTGGGGAGAAAACAGAGGGTGGACAACCAGAAGCTAGTTCTTAAGGTACCTCAACACAAGTGATGGACCCTGGGTCAGAGCCATGAGAAGAAAAGGGAGGTGACACTAAGTGCCAACATCAGGAACAAGGAGGGGACATCATGACAGGTTCTTTGGACATGGCAAGGATGATAAAGGGTCCAAAGAACAGCTGATCGATCTGGCGCCCCCGATGGCGTGAACCAATTCCTTCACATCGCCAGGGCTTGCTCACAGCCAAAATGCACACCCCCGTGACCCCACGCCTATTAAACAATTGAATTTGTAGCTGAAACTTTCCCACAACAGAACCCAAAGTCCAGACATCTTCACTGGTGAATTTAACTAACATGAAGGGGAGGGAAAACACCCTTCTGCACCAAGGCGCCCACAACACTAAAGGGCAGGGAAGATGCCGGTCATCCCACGAAGCCAGCACTGCCTGTACCACAGCCACACACAGGAATGGGCAGACCCGGCTAGACGGGCACACAGCAGGGTTCTGAGCCGAATCCCGGGCAGCTGCATCCCAGAAGGAGGTAAGGATGAGCCCCTGACCAGGAGTGTTACCCCAAGCATCGCAGCTTGGTTCAACATTTTAAAGATACTATTAAACTAAAAATAAAATTAAAAATGTTTGACAATGATCATGTCAACAGATGTTGCCGGGGCATTGGACAAGGTCCAGTGTTCACTCCTGCAAAAGCACCTGTGGGAGGAGGGACAGAGCCTCAAAAAGGACATCCGCGGAGCCCCCGCCAGCCCGGGCCTCACACTAGGGCTTCTGAGATCAGACTCCGTCCTCCTGCGTCCCCAGGCAGCACCACACGGAGCTGATGGTCAGCGCGGCAAGTTGAAGGGAGGAGTCAAGGGTCTAGGTCCCCGTGTAGATGGCCTGACCATCCACGGACACTGCCAGCGCTCCTGGGAGGAGAGCTCCTGGGCGTGCAGCGGGGAGCCTGTTGGAGGTCAGCTCTCTGCGCCTCGCTCCCATGCCCCTGGCCCCCGCCAGCATCCCAGGAGGCACCATGCTGCCGCTTCCTTGGCACGCCCAGTTCCAGGAGCAGGGCTCACCAGCTTTGGACAGGCGCCCTGCTGGGTGCCCCTCGGCTGGCACCCCTGAGAGCGGCCTCTCCAGTGGGCGCACCCTGTGGTTCACCGAGCTTGACGGCTCTCTTCCTAGCCGCCGTCCCCCAGCGTGGATGCGCTCAAGGAAATCCCTGCTTCACAGCCTCCCCCAGCCTCTGTGGGGAGGATTCTCAGGGTCGGATCCCAAAAGGGCCTCAGGAAAAACCAGCATCCCGCCCACCTCTCTGGAGTCTCCATCTGCAGCCCCACCTTGTGCCGCAGGTGGTGACTCGGGGTGCAGCCCGGGAGTGGAGCCCAGCCTCCCTCCCTGCCCCTTCCGTTCTCCTGGGGATGCTAGAACGGGATGCAGGAGGGGGAGGACATGAGACGGGGCCAATGCGTCATCATTTTAGTTCACACTGATTTTTTAAAGAAATTTTGGTAGGAAAGTTTAATAAACCAGAGAATTCTGGATTACTGATCATGTATTTCGAACCTTGAAAGAGGGACAGAAGTCTAAGGGGGGAAATTCCCACAGGCAGGTTAAGAATCTGCTTTCCTGTCCCCTGCCCTGTCGTCACGGGGACGGAGTGCAGGGACTTACACCTCCTGGGCAAGAGCTCCACCATCAAGCCCACCCCAACCCCTACTCCCTGATTGATGTTTCAACTCCAAGTTTAGCTAGTGCCAAAATGGAACCTTGAGAGGCCCCCACACACAGGAAGATGTCCAAGACATACTAAGTAAAATAAGCAAGTTAGAGGACCGACACAGAGCAGGAGTTCATTCTTATTACACGAATCATGCACAAGACAGTAGAGTGACTGTTGTGGTCTCTGCAAGGCTGGGTCGTGCAGGATTTCATTTTCTGTGTCGTATACTTCCATGAAGTTTGAGCATTTTTTGTCAAGCAGGTATTCTATTTGTAGTCACTGAATAACCACAATATTTCCAATTTACAGGGGAAATATCTGCAACTATGGTGGACTTTCTAGATATTTCAAATGCCGCAGTCTGGCTGGGCACAAAATAAACGAGCCGCCACAAAGCCTTTAGGTTCAAACAGCAACTCTTTATTCACAAACTCTCACCAGCACTCTACACACACTTCCCGGGAACACACTCCCTCCACCGGGCTCCGCGCGCCAATTCTCCCGGAACCCCCGAGAGAACTCAACGGGAACTCCAAAGTAGCGGGCGCCTGAGGCAGCAGGATCCACCCTAATCCCGAGCTGCCCTATTCCCGGAGCAGGGTCACCTTTCAACCATTCCCTCTAGCAAAATGCCAGGCGTCATTCTGACTAAACTGTGGCTCTCAACACCAAGGAGGCAATTTATATGAATAAACTGAGAAGCAGGAGGTTCCTTGGCTGCCCCCCCCTGTTGTTTTGGGAGTGTCTGAAGGGAGAGCACAGATGCCCCGGTGTCTCACCCGCCCACCGCAGCCATCCTCCCTCTTGGCAGCGGGTTTGCCCAGTGCTGCTGCCTGGCAGCTCAGGACAGGGGAGAGAGTCTGGTCCCTTCCCTAGGACCCCAGGAGAAGGGCGCAGACACACGGCCTCCTCCGAGGAGCCTCTCTGCCACGCAGGACTGCTTGGGCTGGCGGAAACTGTCCTGGCACGCAGGCGGTGGCCCCCGGTGCCGTGAGATGTCCTGGAAGCCCCTCAGCCACCTCCTGTGTGTGTCTAGGTCAGGTCAGCCCCTCTTCCTCACCTCCTGTGTGTCTCTAGGTCAGGTCAGTCCCTCTCCCTCACCTCCTGTGTGTCTCTTAGTCAGGCCAGCCCCTCTCCCTCACCTCCTGTGTGTCTCTAGGTCAGGTCAGCCCCTCTCCCTCACCTCCTGTGTGTCTCTTGGTCAGGTCAGTCCCTCTCCCTCACCTGTGTGTCTCGTGGTCAGGCCAGTCCTGCTACCTCACCTCCTGTGTGTGTCTTGGTCAGGCCAGCCCCTCTCCCTCACCTCCTGTGCGTCAAGGGCCTGGGATCTGGCAGACTCAGGTGTGAACTGCCTGTAGCCGTCTGTTCCATTTCCTCTTCACCTGCTGTTCTTACAGCCTCAGTAATTTTATATTGAAGACTAAATACTGTATTCTGAAAGTGGACCAGTGGACTTTCTATTTTTCGTAACCCCCTTTTCTTTTTATACCTTGTCGTCTCATTTTCATCTTGCTTCTGTACCCCTTGGCATTGCCAGGCATCCTAGTCCTGTTGACTTTCTGTGGGGGAAACCATCCATGGTAATGCACTCCCCCTTCTTAGCATTCTGGATAGCCATCCTGGTGGTCAGGAGCACCTGGTAGTGTCCTTCCCAGCTCCATTGAAGCTTCTCTTCTCTCAGGTCTTAAGGTCTTGATTAAACCAAGTAGTTGAGCGGCAATCTATCGATTGCAAACTCCAGAGGAGGAGTCTCAGAAAGGAGTCCCTTTACCCAAGAGATGATAAAGTGGAGGATATGGCCAGCACATATTCTCTTAAAAACTGGTCTTTAGTTTCCTTGGTGGGGAATTCTGCAGTTTTTCCCAAACAAGGGAGCCCACATAGTAGCTCCTAATAAGTGTCAGGGCTAGATAGTCATACCAGCAAACAAACAAAGACAAAACAACAATAAAACCTCGAAACACAGATCAAATCCTCCTATTAGGACGTTAGGAAGATCTGTAGGTCTCTAATTGATTCAAAACCAACGTGTGACTGCTCATTTTGATATTTATCAGGCACTCCTGTGTAAAGACCCTTCCTTCCCAACCTTGCAGTTTCACTGATTTGGGGAGGACTGACACAAATGTGCACCTCAAGTTACCTTAAAGAGACCATGCCTTTTCCTAATGTCCATGTGTGGCTGTGCTTTGGCCACACTCTGTCACCACATGCTTAATACCAAGTTGGTCAAAACTGACCCTGTTCCTACCTCTGTTGGGGTCAGCTGAGATTCCTCAGAGATCCTTCTTGGGAACACTTGAAGTCGGAGTACTGGATTTCAACCTGCATATCTATAGTTTTGTTGTCGCCCCTTCCATTTAATTGGGGTCAGTATTAGCCCTGGAATTCAGCCTTGTGTTCTTTCTGTCCTATAGGTGATGGCTTATTGTCTCAGATACACTCAGGTTGTTCTGATAGAAGCAGTGTTCTGCAAAACACAAAGAGGTAATAAAGTTTTACAAAGAAAATACAAAATGAAGTTAACAAGAGCTAATCTCAGCAGCTTGGGAGACTGAGGCAGGAGATCTCAAGTTCAAAGCCAGCCTCAGCAAAAGCAAATCCCTAAGCAACTCAATGAGACCCTGTCTCTAAATAAAATACAAAATAGGGCTGGGGACATGGCTCAGTGGTTGAGGTTCCTCTGAGTTCAATCCTTGATACCAAAAATAAGTAAATAAAGTTAACGAGGAAAAACATATTTGGTTTATATAATAGCTTTGAACCAAGAAACATAATCTCTAAAACTGCACTAATATATATTTAATATCTATTTTGCCTCCACAAAGATTCATAACTTTATCAACTCAATCACATATAAGAAACCTTACAAATTTTACTTTCTTTTAAAACTCTTTTACAATCTTAAATTACTTTTATTTTTTTAAAATTTTTATTTTTTTAGTTGTAAATGAACACAATATCTTTGTCTTATTTATATATTTTTGTATGTGGTGCTGAGGATCGAACCCAGTTCCTCACGCATGTGAGGCAAGCACTCAGCCACTGAGCTACAACCCTAGCCCCCCTTAAATTACTTTTATAATTTTCCCAAACTTTACTTAGTTTTTTATTATATCCCTTGTTTACTTTGAGATCACAGTGATCTGTACAACAAGAACCTATCTTTGGAACACACCTTTAAATGAGCTTAAGCCCAGTCCACTTTGGGGTCATCCTGACATGAAGTAGGGCGGAAGGCAGAGCTTTCTCTCAGGGAAGGCGAGGCTCTGGACAAATCTTAGGTAAAGTGTCTATTTCTCAAGCTGATCTTTGCCTCTTTTTAAAATATATTTTACAAAGTTCTCATATGATATTTCCCGGATCTGTGTGAATGTGAGTGAACACAACACAGCATCACATCTGCAACATGAATTAAAAGCTAGAAGAGCTCTTCACGTTCTATTTGTGGACAACGTGGCAAAGAATTTCCATGATGCATATTGCCAATCTTTAAACAATCATGATCTCCTTATTACCTTCCAAAAATACAATAAATCCCACCCAGTGTAACCTAATGGATATAAAAAATTATCTTGATAGATAAAAATAGATTAATGTTTTAGACTTTGTTTTATATCAGTGCATTAAAATCCGACCTTAGAAAACCCTTTAAATAATTTTTACTGACCATATTAATTACCGACTGAACTAATCATAGCCAACTTAATCACCCATACAAACTTTTGGAGCTTTACTTTCCACAAACATTCTGCAATCTACTTAGACATTCTACAATTTGTTTACAACCTTAGGTTTTGGTTTTTTTTTAAGTTGTTGAGGTACTTTATTTTTTATTTATTTATATGCTGAGAATTGAACCCAGGGCCTCATACATGCTCGGCAAGTGCTCTGCCACTGAGCCACAACTCCAGCCCGATATGACCTTAGTGTTAGTTTTTCCTTTATCTTGGACTATCACACAAAAATGTTACTTTATCATACAAATTACTTTCTCATCCAAAAACATTTTTTCTTTCTAATTTTTCATATTAAATACATTTTATATCAATAATTTCCTTATATCTCTCTCTTTAGACTGGTGTTCACGGGCAGCAGAGTGTGCGGGGCCTGGCCCCCTGCCCACCAGCAGAGTTCTCAGAAGATCCTGGGACCAGATCCACAGAGATGGGCATCTAGGGGGTCCTGTGGGTGCTGATCTAATCTCCCCAGAGCAGACACCGCCCAGCAGAGCCCCTGAGGCCTGATGAGACCTTAGCCCCACCTGCTGGAACTCCCCACAGGACTCTGCCGCAGCCACCCCCTGGGACAGACGCCAACCAACAGGACTTCCCACTGCAGCCCACCCGCACCGGGAGGGGGGACACCCAGAGCTCCCTTACCCCGTCCGTCCAGCCACTCCAGCCCGCAGCTCCGCGAGCCACACGGGAGAGCAAGCGGTTAGCAACCCCAGCCTGCTCTCTTCCAGCCCATGGCCCAAGAAAAGATGGCAGAAAGGACAGCGGGGCACAGCAGTGACGTCACCCTTGTCAGCTGTTCTGACCTCCTCAGTGGAGACAGCTCTTTCACTTTTCATTAAGAATATTTTTTTCCTCCTTTTTCCTTTGTGGTGACTCTTGCTGTGCTGCATGGTTTGTGGATGTGTGTGTGTGTGTGTGTGTGTGTGTGTGTGTCTTTTTTCTCCTTTTTAGCATTCTTTGTGACAATTATTCTCCCTCACCGTGTCTTTGAGGGTCAGGGTGTGTGGTTTGTTTACTTTGGGTTTGTTGTTTTCTCTTGGTCTCTTTTATTCTCCCTTAACATCCATATTCTCTGTTCTCTCCTTCTCCCTTTACTTTTTTTTTCTATTTTTCCTCCTCCTTTTCAAGAACCATCACTTTATCTCTTCAGCTTTTCTCTGTTCACATTTTGAACATTCTAAACTTTCTTCAACCTTCCTATCACACTTTTTTCTCTCAATGAGCTGTATTTTCACCATCTTTTGGCCTATCTAGTTTATAGGATTGTGCCCCTGCCATTTATGTTGCTGCAGTTATCAGTACTGACACCTGCTGATTTATGCCAGATCTAGTTAACAATTACTCATTGTTCTTGCTGTTGGCAATCACTGGCCCCATGGTTCCCATTTCTGTGGTAATTCGTGTTCTAGATGTCATAACAGACAAGGGTTTTATTTGAATGCTGTATTTGTTGCTTGGGTTGTTGCTATTGTTTCTCTGTGAGGTGATAAAAATCTACAGGGACACTACAAGCTCACAGATTAGAGATTTTGCTGCTGAACCAAACCCAGCCAAAATATAGTGTACCTCATTTCACACACAGATTAATCACACTTAAACTTCAAGTATGCTTTAATACAAAGAATAGAACAGACAAAGACCCAAAACTAATGGCCAGGCCCCAAGTGAGAATGACATGACTGGCAGTGGGGGGTACCTCAGATCCCATGGATCTACCATGCGGCCTGTGCAATGGTTTCATTAATGAGGTTCTTGGCATAAAGTTAGTTAGAAGAGATCGAAATAAAACACACAGACTCAGTTACCTTATTTCTATTGCCAGGTCCAAGACGGCTCCCCTCTCTGGCTCCAACCTCTAACTGCCCAGCAGGGCAGCAAGGATTACTCAGGGCTAGCAGGAGAGAGAGAGAGTGAACACGCCAGGGAGTAGCCTTTTATTGGGGAACAAGAAATTCAAGGGATAATTCCATCCAATGAAGGTTGAGGGGGGACTGCACTCCAAGGTCAGGGTCAGTGATTGGGCCCCTGGGGTCAGTGGTCAGTCACACCCCTACATGGACGGGTTCTCTCATCAGGAAAGGGCCGTTAGAAGAGATCGAAATAAAACACACAGACTCAGTTACCTTATTTCTATTGCCAGGTCCAAGACGGCTCCCCTCTCTGGCTCCAACCTCTAACTGCCCAGCAGGGCAGCAAGGATTACTCAGGGCTAGCAGGAGAGAGAGAGAGTGAACACGCCAGGGAGTAGCCTTTTATTGGGGAACAAGAAATTCAAGGGATAATTCCATCCAATGAAGGTTGAGGGGGGACTGCACTCCAAGGTCAGGGTCAGTGATTGGGCCCCTGGGGTCAGTGGTCAGTCACACCCCTACATGGACGGGTTCTCTCATCAGGAAAGGGCCGGGAAAATTCCGACACAGCCAGAAGCCTCAGACCCTTAACAGGAGCCGCCCAGTCACGTGTCAGGATGGCTTCCCACACATGGACATCTTTTCCTACAGTAAAGTCAGAACTAACATCAAGGCTACAGGTACCACACTTATGGGGACTCCACTCTAGGACACTTTGTTAGAGGAGGATGTGCACTAAAAAGGCCCACATGTAAAAGTAGAAGAGAAATCCATTCCACCATATGCATGAAGTCCAAAACATAGGAATACAAGAAATATATTTTAATTCACCAGATAATGACTGCAAAGACATCGAAGCAGGTGAAATACTAGATAAAGTATTCAAAAGAATGATTATAAAAATGATTAATGAATTCCAAGAAACTGAGGAAAAAGAGCTGAATGAATTAAGAAGTCAGTACAAAATACAAATGAAAAATCTAAGAAGGAGATAGATGTATTGAAAAAGAACCCAACAAACCTTTTGGAACAAAAAGATCCACTATATCAAATAAAATGTTCAGTTGAAAGTCTCTCTAATAGAGTAGATAATACTGAAGACAGAATTTTAGAGCTGAAAAACAAAGTTGGTAGCCTTAATTATTCATACAGTAATAAAGAAAAGAAAAATAAATAGCCATGACCAGAAAATCCAAGAACTCTGCAACATTAAGAGACCAAATTTAAGAATCACTGGAATTTAAGAGGGTTATGAGATATGGCTAATGGCATAAATAACTTCTTCAAGGAAATCGTAATAGAAAAATTTCCAGACTTTGAGAATGAGATGAACATTCAGATATAGGAATCATTAAGAACTCCTAATAGATAAGATTAAAAAGAAACAATAAAAATTCCTAGTATAGAAGCAAGGATAGAATTTTAAAAGCCTCAAGAAAAAATATCAGGTAACATTTAGAGAGAGGCCAATCATGATTATTTCTGATTTCTCAACACAAACTTTAAAATCCAGGAGGTCATGGAATGATGTTCCAAGTCCTGAAAGAAAAAACTTTCAACCAAGATTGCTATATCTGCAAAGCTATGCTTCAGAATTATAGAAGAAATGAAAACCATCCAAGATAACAAGAAACTAAAAGAATTCATGACTGCTAAGCCAGCACTTCAGAGAAACCTTACAGAAATACTTACTGCAGAAGAAATAAAAACAAACACCAGAGCTCACAAAAACCCAATCTCCTTTGAGAATTAGCTAAGTGAATGATAAACAGGACCAAAGAAAACATTATCAATTAACCAAAATGGCAGAAATTAATAAACATCTCTTCATAATAATATTAAATATAAATGACTTCAACTCTCCAATTAAAAGACATATGGTAATAGAATGGATTAAAAAGGAGACCCAGCTATATATTGTATGCAAGAGACTCACCTTACAGGAACAGATAGCCACAGATTGAAAATAAAAGGATTGAAATTGATATACCATGTGAATGGAGCCTGAAAACAAGCAGGAGTAGCTTTCTTAAAAATCAGAATGATCCCAAATAAACAATAATGGTTAATCTTAAGGCTCTTGAAAAATGAGAACAAACAATTCCAAAACTAGTAGAAGGAAATTAAGATCAGAGGTGAAATCAATGAAAATGAGAATTAAACAGTTCCGAAGATCAAAGAAATGAAGAGGTATTTTCTGAAAACATAAACAAGATCGATAAGCCCTTAGCCAAAAGAAAAAGACCCAAGTTAATAAAATTAGAGATAAAAAGGAGAAATCACCACAGACATGGCAGAAATCTGAATAACAGAGACTATTTTGAAAAATTATACTCCAATACATTGAAAACCCAAGAAGAAAAAGAAGTAAATGAATGTCTAGACCCATATCTGCTGAGAAAGGAAGCAAGAAAATGGCCCTGTTCACAATACCCATGGGGAAAAAGTACCTAGGAATAAACCTGACCAAGAAGGCAAGAGACCTCTGAAAAGAAAACTATAGACACTGAGGGAGAAACTGAAGAATATATCAGAATATGGGTACCCAGCTTCCCAGCACTTTTTTTAAAAAGTCTATTTTTTTCTCCAGTGTATGTTTTGATATCTTTATCAAAGATCAGATGACTGTAGATGGGTGGGGTTGTCTCTGGGTCCTCTAGTCTGTGTCATTGGACTATGTGTCTGTTTTTATGCCAGTACCATGCAGTTGCTGTTACTATAGCTCTTTAGTGTAATTTCAAGTCAATTATTGTGATACCTCCAGCATTGTTTAGAACTGCTTTGATTATTCTTGGTATTTTATTCTTCCAAAGGAATTAAGGACTGCTTTTTTCTAGTTCCATGAAGAATGTCATTGATATTTTAATGGAAATTGCATTGAACCTGCTATTGCTATTATGGCCATATTAACAATATTAGTTCTGCTTCTCCAGGAACATGCTGGGAAAACTGGTTATCCATAAGTAGAAAAAAATGAGTCTAGATCCATCTCTCCCACTACACAAAAGTTAATTCAAAACGAATCCAAAGCCTAGGAATTAGACCAGAAACTAGGCGACTGCTGGAGGAAAACGTGGGGTCCACCCTTCAGCACACAGGCACAGGCAAGGACCTTCTCAGTAGAACCCCTAAAGCTCAGGAAATAATCCAGAAGTTCATAAATGGGATGGAATACCACCAAAGGCTTCTATACAGCAGAGGAAACAATTAAGAATTTGAAGAGAAAACCTACAAATTGGAGAAAATATTTGCTAGCTACTGTTCTAACAGGATTAATGTTCAGAACATATAAAGAACTCAAAAAGCTTAATGCCAGGAAGTGAAGAACCCATTTAATAAATGGGAAAACTAACTAAACAGACACTTCTCAAAAGAAGCAACACAAGTGGCCAACATTATAAGAGAAGATGTTCAACACCAGTAGCAATTAGGGAAACGCAAATCAAAACTACTCTGAGATTTCACCTCACACAATGTCAGTCATTGTCAGGATACAGACCATCATACGTGCTGGAGAGGACGTGGAGAGAAAGGGACACTCTCTCACTGCTGATGAGACTGTGAATAAGTTCAACCACTATGGAGAGCTGTTTGGACTCTCCCCAAAACTAGGCATGGAACCACCATAGGACACAGCTAAACCACTTTTGGTGTTTTATCCTGAAGAATTAAAGTCATCTCCTACAGTGAGACACGCAGACCCCTGTTTACAGAAGCACAGTTCACAGCAGCCAAATCATCAACCAGCAAGGTGTCCATCAGTGGACGGATGCATAAGAAAATGCGTGTATATATACTCGGTGGACTTTTGTTCAGCCATAAAGAAGAAGGGAATTATGTCATTCACAGGAAAATGGATAAAACTAGAGAACATTATGTTAAGGAAATAGGTCAAGGGTCATATATTTTCTCTAATATGTGGAAGCTAGAGAGGAAAAGGAAAAGAAAGCGGGGGGGGGGGAGTCTCATGAAAACCAAAGGGAGATCAGTATAGTAGAGGGAAGGGTCTGGGTCAGGAGAGGGAAGGGAAAGGGGAAATACTGGGGAGTTTATAGTCACCACAGTACATCGTTAGATGGTGTGCACCTATGAATGTGCTCAACAAATCCCACATAGTCACCATAGTACATCGTTAGATGGTGTGCTGAACAAATCCCACATATTCACCATGTTACATCATTAGATGGTGTGCACGTATGAATGTGCTCAACAAATCCCATCATCACATTCAATTATAATGCACCGACAAAAAATGAATGCCCGAATTTTACCCGTGTGTGATGCTCTGAGAGACTGAAGCCAGGGTGCTGATATTTTAACCTGTGGAGAGCAGTGATTTGAATCATGGCCTCTGACTCTCTGTGGCTGCGTGGAGCTGGGAGCTGCCTGTGTGAAGGTGCAGATCGAGATGCTCAGGTGCTTTGTGCAAAGGCACACAGCAGTCATCAGAAAAGCCCTTGAATTGAGGCACCAAATCCCAGGGACAGAAGGTTCTGAGCATAGCAGGATGACCCTGTGTCTCCCAGTCCTGCATCCTCGATTGCCTGCTTGGCTGAAAGTTCCCCACAGATAACCTGCTGATGGAACCAAGAGCTAGAGGGGACCCATGTGAGAGCTGCAGGAGACACCCCAACGGCTTTCCAAACACACTCACTGTGCACAGGAGGAAGGCCTAGCAGATGCACATGGGCCAAGAGGTGGTTGGCCTGAGGAACAGCTAGATCAGAGGGTGAC